TCTAGGCACCTTTAGAGTAAGAGGTGGAAAGGGATGGGCCCGCTAGCGGCCAAAACTCGAGTGCATAAGCACCACGAGCATCCCGGCCCATGTTCGAGTCTTGGCTGGATATGATCCATGGTTTTTCCTCGAAGAAAGGCAGAGAGCCCTCGGGACTGGTCGAACAGACCCGAGAACTATATGGATTGACCGCTGAGAATCTGGGGTCAGTCGCCAGCTGACCCAAGCCGGATCCCCACGAACGGGATATCAGGGCCCCACTCAGACTAGCCAGCTAACAACTCACCGAGGCCATGGCTCGTCCATAGAGGAAAATCATGGCATGGCTCAACTCCTCTAGTTGCGAAAACCACGGACGGGGCGACGATCACAAAGATGAGTCGACCCTCGACCGGAACCCCACTACGCGTGGGGCTTGAGGAAAGTTGGACTCGTAAGGAGACCAAACGCACGGTCACAGAACGATAGACCCCCGTAGGGGTCAAAATCAAGAAAGACCTTTTTTCGACCCATCAAATCTCACGGCTATACCGCCGAGGGATCCTATCTCGACAAAAGGGAATCACCGTCCCCAGGTCACGCCGTGGGCGACAAAAGAAGGCCAAGACCCTCAGAGTCCTCCCATCTGAAAAAGCCTCCAAAGAGTATTCTACTCCTCCGCAGGCTCGGGGGCTACTGTCGGGGGCCGATACTAGGGTACCCGAAGAGGGGGAGCTAATGACCATCAACATTGATTCATCCAAGCAGTCAAGAGCGTGACTACAGCTCCAACCGACCCCTAGACGCGCAAGCTCCGCCTAGCCTGACCCCTGGGGGAGGGCTCTGCCTCGTCCAACCCTAAGGCTGTGGGTTCCGTCGTGCCCGACATCTAGGGGCGGGCTCCGCCTCGCCCGACACCGAGGTCGTGGGCTCCACCTCGCCCAACCCTTGGGTTCGTGCTCGCCTCAGCCAACCGCAAGGTCGTAGGCTCCGCCTCGCCTGACCCTTGGGTCGGCGCTCCGCCTAGCCCGACCCCAAGGTCACGGGCTCCGCCTCGCCTGACCCCAAGGCTGTGGGCTCCGCCTCGCCCGACGGAGGCCCATATCACCGCCAACCACTCTAGGTCCAAGTGTATGGGCCTGGGTCAAAGCTCTGACACCAGGGAAGAGATCGGCACGCCCCGATGTAACCTATGGCCATGACGGGCCATACCAAAAGATTCACATCAAGAACAACGTCGGGCGTACCAGTACTGTTCTGCCTAACCCTCGTCCGAACACTGACAGGACGGAGTGGAGCGTCGTAACCGGCAAACGACACCTGCGCATGGCGCCAGTAACGGACAAGACCGCGACATGGCGCCGTCCCTGTTAACATCTACAGTGTTGGCGGGACCCGCATGAAGGAGAAGTGGGACCCAGCGACCCTGCTCTCTCTCGTTTTTCTCTTTCGTTCTGCTGTAACCCGTGCTTTCCCTTGGCCTATAAAAGGGAAAGCAGGGCGCCCCATTAGGGGGCATCGAATCGATTCAAGCCAGATCCAAACAAACCCATCAAACCCCGAACACACGGCTACAGCAGCAACTGAACTCCCTCAGCACCCGTTTACTCCTTTCACTAGAGACTTGGGACTTATCCCTCCCTCGCCCGTTTGTAACCCCTACTATGAACTTTCAGTGCTAGTAACACGAGCAGCAGCAACGAACTGGATGTAGGGACATTCTGTCCGAACCAGTATAAACCTCGTGTCCTCTTAAGCACACCATCCGAGCCAGACACATAATATTAGAAATTTACTCGTTGGTGGTAACTCGAAACACCGACAGTATGTAACACTTGCAACATACGTGTGTAAAAAATAGATTAAACATGGATAAACGCTTGCAACATATGTGTACAACCATAACAAATATGCAACATCCCGATCTACTTTGCAACATCCGTATAAAATAATTGAAACATACATCTGAAACAACTGAAACACTTAAAATATAAGCATGCAAGATGTCTGAAAAACGTTCAGAAACACTTGAAACACAATATCGCCGCACGCCATGACCTACCTGGTGGGGAACTGTGGTGGTGTAGGCCTCCATTCCTGCCGATGACGTGAGGTGGATGGGGGCGCAAGTGCAGACCTCCCCTGCTTCCCCTTCTGCGACAGAAGAGGTGGATCAGCGCGGCGCTAGATGGTGGCGCTCCTGATCTCATGCTGGCATGAGCTGTCGCTGCTACAGTGGAGAAGAGGCGTCCGACGAGTTGGAGAAGGCCGTGGTGGGCTAGAGACACAGTGGGGGAGGGAGGAAGGCGGTCAGCCGAGAGGCGATGGAGAGGGATCAAGGTGGGCATCCATGCTCGGGCATGGTGAAGATGCTGGCCATCGAGCCCGGACCACCGTGGAAAATGCCGGGGCGGCACGACAGAGCACATCCGCTCGAGCTGCTGGTGATTTTTTCTGAAGAATAGAGACAATAGGCTATAGTTAGAGACTTACAGACGAGAGGCTACGACTGTTGAGCCATTGGACTAGTGTTACGGCCACGAAGGAGAGCGTCCGGAGAGTCAGACGTCCTCGACGTAGCATTTCTTTTTTTTCACACACTGGCTTGCTACCCTTTTAAAAAAATATTTTGTCCTATTTTTTAAATCTTGTGTTTGCTAAATCTTTGATTAGACAAATTAACCAAGAGCCTTTTACGCCAGTGCCATTAAAAAAGATGACCTAATCGTCAATGCCCCTACAAAGTTGGGTCTATCACTGCCGTCCCTGGGTTTGGAAACTTCTTTCGCCCAAGCCATTCCGTCCATTGTAGCTACTCCTTCCATGCCTTGTCCTAGCTTTGCAGAACCAAGTCAAACAAACAGTGAAAATGCAGATGATGCAGTCCTTGCAAACCCAAACCCAGAGAATGAGTATGTGGGTGTTGATGAGGAAGGGTTGTACATTGACCTTGGTCCTGGCACCCCACCACCTCCACAACCTCGGCCTCGGCCTCAACCTACCAAAGACACAAAATGAGTGCCCAAGTCCCGATAGAGTTGCATGCAATGAAAGTGACAAAGTGATGATAGAGTTGTTTCGATGATAGTCCCGATAGAGCATTTTCGATTGATGACTATGAAATTGACCACGATGACTTAGATGAAATGGTGAAAGACCATGAGCACGATCCGATGGCACCGGTGATTATGACATGTAAACAACCCCTCTATGGTCAGAGGCGGTATGTTTTTGAGACATGTTTCAATTTAAGATGGCTTTAGCTACTCATCTGCCGCAATAAGAGAGAATCGGTATTTCATTCAAAAGAGTGATACAGGAAGGTATGAGTGTATCGCCTTTGGAGGAATGATGGTTGCCCCTGGAGAATCCATGCATCAACCATGAGGGATGGTAAAACAATTTAGGTGATATATATGTTCATTAGTATTTAGCATTGTTCTTTGTTCATATTTAACATAGTCTACTGCCTTAACTTTGATGATTTGATTCACAGGTTAAGGTGAACCCAGCCAGCCATGACTGTCAGAGCAAGAGGAGGACTGGAGTCCCTATTGGCTACACCCAGTACTAGGTTTGTGAGAAAGTTATGGACTGGCTCAAAAAAGATGGAACTTTGGGTACTACTGAGTTGATCAAGAAACTCAAGGAACATTTCAAGGTGGAGATGCCCTACATGAGAGTGTACAATGGTAAGAATCTTGCCATTGATAAGATTTATGGTCCATGGGACAAAAGTTTTGACAACTTGTATAGATTTAAGGCACAGATTGAGAGTGAAAGTCCTGGGTCATTGGTTGTGATTGATAACCATATAATCAACAACAAGCTAAGGTTCAATAGGTTCTTTTTTGCAATGAAAGCTTGTGTTGATGGTTTCCTTAGGGGTTGTAGACATTCCAACATTATTGTGTGGTCTGCAATGACATTTCAACATTGATTCATTCATTAATATATCATTGTTCATTCATACATGCATATAGATGAGCACAGCCAAACACACAAACACACACCTACTTTTTCATTATTGCATACAAGGCAAGAAAGATGGCAACAAAGACTAGCTTCTCAATCTATTTTAGCTGCTGCATAACCCCATCAGCTCTGTCTTCCACTCCACCTCTAGCAGCAGCCTGGGTAGCTTCATGGATGATGGGCAAATGAGCTGGATCTGTAGTAGGTCCTGCTGCAACTGGCTGTAGAGCCACTAGAGCTGCAATTTATGCAGGAGTGACATCCATCTCATCCTTTCACTGATAGAACTGGCAACCTCCAGCCTGAGCACAAAATGGTCACCAGATTGTAGGAAACAAGCACTTGAGAAGTAGGAACAAAGAAGAACATGACCAATGAACAAAGACATACCAAGAAGTATGGACACTTGTGGAAGACACGCTCGGTGTTCTTGCCGGTCATCGAGGTGAATCGATTGGCAAGCACCCTACAGTTGGGGCAAAACACCCGCTTGGTGAGCCGCCTCTCATAGCTACTGCTTGAAACTTCAGACATGGTGAATGTTGAAAGAAGTGAGTGGTGAAGAAATGAGGAGTGCACTGCCTAGGGGAGCCAGGGTCATTTTGGCGCCAAAGCCAACAAGATTAGCGCCAAAACCCACCTGAATGGTGCCAAGAGGCTAGGTCCTGAGAGTGGCATAGAAGAAACACACAAGTTTTCACTCATTCTCTTACTCCCCAGTGGTATTCAAGTCTTTTTCCACCTCCGTTACCCACCGTTAGTAACTACAATGGATGGAATGGCTTGGGTGAAAGAAGTTTTCAAATCTAGAAACGACAATGATAGACCCAACTTTGTAGGGGCATTGACGATTAGACCATTTTTTTTAATAGCACGGGCGTAAAAGGCCCATTAACCAAATCCTAAAACCTGAACAATTTATCCGGCCTAAAAAAGTTTGAGCTTCTATCAGAACTGCTGAAACAGAGCCGTTCCCTGTTCCCGAAACTAGTCTTCACTCTTCACCCCTGCTGGCGGCGTGCGGAGGCCGGGGTCGACAAGAGGAGATGACGTTGGCGGCGGGGCTGGGGTACGCTCTGATCGCGCTGGGCCCCGCCTTCTCCCTCTTCGCCGGCGTCGTCGCCAGGAAGCCCTTCCTCGTCCTCACCGTCCTCTCCAGGTCTTCCCCCGTGCCTCGCCCGTTTCTCGTGCTTTTTTTTTCGCAAGTTTCTCGTGCTTCTTTAACCGCGTTTTGATCAGATCGTCCGTTGCCCTCTAGTAAAAGCGAACATTCTCTTCATCGATTGGGGTAGGAGGCGGGGGCGTTTGTTTGAGGCGTTCCAGTGTGTGGTTTCGTGAGGCAAACGCGGATTATTGGTTTACTTGTGCTAGGGTTTAGTAGTTCCTTGCGGATCGATCCGGTGCTGCTAGTTGGATTCAGCTCACAGGGCGTATTGGCGTGTACTGTGTGGTTTTTGAGTTCTCAATTTATCTCATCTGTTTGCGAAATCCTTGAATCTGGTTTGGAATGAATGTGTGGATCTCAAACCTGTAGAACTTGCATTGTTGTGCTAATGATACTCTCCCTAGGTTGTTGGTAAACCAAAGCTTGTTGACAATTTACTCTGTGTGTATTGTCTCGACAACTTATATGTAGTTGTGCACCAATAAATAGGAGTTGACCTTTAATTCAGTCTCATAATGGTTCTTTTCTTCATTTTTGATTTGCACATATATTTTCATGTAGTATGAACATAAGCATTGAATTCTGTTTAATGTATATTGTCTTGACACCCCCTCCCCCCATCTTCCTTCCCAACTGACAATTCACTGCTAGAAGGATGCAAGAGAAATGGTGATTCGTCATGAAAATGTAAATTGGCATTTCAAATACCTACGATCAAAGATTGAGGAAGAACTGGTGTCATCAATTATTTTGTTAGAAGTCAACAAAAGAAGGATATGAGCTACAGAAAAAAAAATGTTCAGAACCTGACTGAAAGATGCATGTGTGTGCGACTGTGTGTGCGATAGACCTATCTCAGAGCATTTTTCTGATACATTGCTACTACCTCAGTATCCTGACATTACACCTCTGACCTCTGCAAGTACTGAATCTGTGTGTTCTCCAATAGAATGCACTGTTAGAAATTACTCCACAGATGTCTGCAATTGAATTTAATGGATGCATCCATTATCTGTAACGTATAACCTGGGATATGAGAAACTTCTCGAATTATAAGGCTTAAGCTGTCATACTTTATTAATCAGTACTCACTACAGTCACAAATAAGTGATGTAACTTTTCTCCATTCATTTTTTAATGCTTGAATCTCTACATTTGGTAATCTTGAGTGATATGCTGTTCTCCTTTTGTGATGACCTTATCAAGGGAGAGGAACACACACAGTCAGGGTTGGTTCGAAAGCTTTTAGTCTTGCCAGTTAAGTCTGGTCTCAATCAACGGAGAAGTTCCAACTTCCAAATGAATATGCTTAGTTTTTTCGTTCACAAGATAATGCATTAGTTTGAAAGAAAATATAAGTCGACTTAATCCTCTATGTTAGTGAACAGTTTACAGACCTGGAAATGGAAACTAGAAACCATTTTTCTCTCTATCCATGTTGCCTTCAGACCTTGATGGTAGTAGGGTGAGTTCCCGTTTCCCAGAATCGCTGCCCTATTATCTTTAGTGCCTGAAACACTAAAGTGTATTGTACATTCTCTTATGAATTTTGAAATGGAAGGATATATTATCATATTTAATTTAAATATTAACCTTGGCCTTTATCTTTTAGTGCAGCACCTTGTTTTGGCTTATAAGTTTGATAGTCCTCTCGGGAATATGGAGGGGATTTCTTCCTATAAAGTCAGGAGCTTGGTGGGCCTATGCGATTCTGATCCTTACATCTGTCGCATTGCAAGAAGGCACTCGTCTTGTGTTTTGGAGGCTTTACAAGTAGGCCCATAAATAGAAGTTGTCCTTATCTGCTGTGGTAATTGAATATATGGGATCTGATAATATTTTTTCCAGGAAAATGGAAGAGATGCTAGATGCTTTTGCTGATAGAATATCTAAGCCACGTCTTAGTTTGACTGACAAGATGCTCATTTCTTTAGGTAAGATTTTGTTATTTTGATACAAGATGAAAAGTATTTTTTTCTAGTTTTCGTTCGTAAGTTATTCTTATTTTGATATAAGATGAAAACATCTGTTGTAGTTCTGGTTCAAGACCAAATGGTTTCTTTTCTTGGCAATTTATGTAATATTATTATTTCTCTATTGCTGCATTGTGTTTAGCCAACACAACAACAACAACAACAACAAAGCCTTTAAGTCCCAAACAAGTTGGGGTAGGCTAGAGTTGAAACCCAGCAGAAGCAATCAAGGTTCAGGCACGTGAATAGCTGTTTTCCAAGCACTCCTATCTAAGGCTAAGTCTTTGGGTATATTCCATCCTTTCAAGTCTCCTTTTATTGCCTCTACCCAAGTCAACTTCGGTCTTTCTCTGCCTCTCTTCACGTTACTATCCTGGCTTAGGATTCCACTACGCACCGGTGCCTCTGGAGGTCTCCGTTGGACACATGTCGTCTTTTCGTAGGCCAACATTCTGCACCATACAACATAGCAGGTCTAATCGCCGTCCTATAAAACTTGCCTTTTAGCTTCTGTGGTACCCTTTTGTCATATAGGACACCAGATGTTTGGCGCCACTTCATCCACCCTGCTTTGATTCTATGGCTAACATCTTCATCAATATCCCCGTCTCTCTGTAGCATTGATCCTAAATATCGAAAGGTATCCTTCCTAGGCACTACTTGACCTTCCAAACTAATATCTTTCTCCTCCCGAGTAGTAGTGCCGAAATCACATCTCATATACTCAGTTTTAGTTCTACTGGGTCTAAAACCTTTGGACTCCAAAGTCTCATGCCATAACTCCAGTTTCTGATTCACTCCTGTCCGGCTTTCATCAACTAGCACTACATCGTCTGCGAAAAGCATACACCAAGGGATGTCCCCTTGTATGTCCCTTGTGACCTCATCCATCACTAAGGCAAACAGATAAGGGCTCAAAGTTGACCCTTGATGTAGTCATATCCTAATCGGGAAGTCATTCGTGTCTCCATCACTTGTTCGAACACTAGTTACAACATTGTTGTACATATCCTTGATGAGCCCGACGTACTTCGTTGGGACTTTATGTTTGTCCAAAGCCCACCATAGAACATTCCTTGGTATTTTATCATAAGCCTTCTCCAAGTCAATAAAAACCATGTGTAGATCCTTCTTCTCCCTATACCGCTCCGTAACTTGTCTTATTAAGATAATGGCTTCCATGGTTGACCTTCCGGGCATGAAACCAAATTGGTTCATAGAGACCCGCGTTATTGCTCTCAAGCGATGCTCGATAACTCTCTCGCATAGCTTCATAGTATGGCTCATCAACTTAATTCCCTGGTAATTGTGTTTAACCCAGATTTTGAATTTAAATGAATGTATACATATTGTAAGTTGCACTTGCATATGTGCCAAATTATGCCCCAATTTTATAGAAGGGGCACACATAGCAAAAATTCTTCCATGGAAAGAATCGCTTGTCATGTTATTTGTAATCTTCTAGGATTTTTTTGCTAATTTTCTGGGGACTGATTCCAACAAGGTTATTAAATGCGCTAATAAATGCTTTGCCAGGGCTCTAAAATTTGTGTTCACAACAGAACAGACACAGTTTCTCTGGTTGTGCATTGTTGATTTGAAACTAGGAAGTCTCCCAAACATAAGCATGGTTTGCTAACTCAGATAAATACTTTAAATCTGAGGATATGCTTCTTTAAATCTGAGTTTATGCTTTTACTTATTGCTTGGTAGGAACAATTGCTCTTCGCTATCACTCTAGGATGTCACAACTATAACTGCTACATTTGCTCATTTTTGTTTGAAAATGTTTGTGCAGCTGGTGGTTTAGGCCATGGAGTGGCTCATGCAGTCTTTTTCTGTCTCAGTCTTTTGACTCCAGCGTTTGGTCGAGCCACATTTTATATTGAAACATGCTCAAAGATGCCATTTTTCCTTGCTTCAGGCAAGTGTTTTTCGCCCACCTAACTCCCTAATATGACTCATTACTATGGAAGGGAATAAGCATATTCATTCTAACTGGGAAAAACGAATTTGTAAGACACGTTTCTTCCTAGTTATATTTGATGCAGTTTTGTGTTCTGAATTTGTTTTGCATGATATTGACCCTTATCCCTGTGCGCTATTTCAGCCCTAATTGCACTTGGATTCTTGGTCATCCATACGTTCTCAATGATTATTGCTTTTAATGCATATGACGAGAGAAAGAAAAGTGATCAAGTTTTTGTTCCAGTTATTCATTTGGCTGCTGCTGTGATGGTAAGAATGGGGACTTTATTGGTTGTGTTGGGTTGAAACTTAATGAACATGATGATGCTTGAGCTGATTTATCTTTGTTTCAATTTTCATAAGTTTCTCTATATTGTTTTCTTCTAATCTAAACATAGAAAACACTGGCTGCGAGCCTGCGACGCCACACCACTGTGACCTTGTTGTAAAATGTTCTTATGCTAAATCATCTCTTATATTTATATATTGGTCACTTCCAGTTTATTCCTATAATTTACATCTACAGAGTCGTGTCCATTTGTAATCAACATGAGGTTTTAATTGATGAAAGTTGAATGCAAAATAATATATGATTGCTGCAATGTAATGCCAATCATGAAACAACCGTAGCAATGCCACACATAGCAACTCTTTTTATCTGCAATGGTAGTATAGTTATTTAAACTATTCAATGTTTCATTGTGGGTTTAAGACAGGCAACTCTATATTCAGTGTCATGGTCAAGGCATTTATCATATTTTGATCTTTATGGTACTGTAGCTTCATGTGTTTCATCTACCTCAGTACTGAGTTGTGGTTGCAATATTGTTTTGTACGAAATCTTGTTGATTTTAGTCAGTATGATCTGGACAGTACATTGCTGAACTTTTGCCTGACCTTGCTGCACTATGTATTCATTTCAGACACTTGTTAACCTCGCCCCAGGAGGCTGTCTCATTGGTACCCCACTGTTGTTGGTCATGGCTGCGCTGACCTTGCAGCACTGCTGGCGAGTGGCATGCCAGAGATTAACTGAGCACCGGCATCAGCAGCATAACAGCAACTAGTTCTTGCCGACTTGCCAGTGCTCCTTACATCATGTAATTCTCCCATGTATGTTTAACTGAATCTTCTGATGTATTCGGACAGACGACGGTTTATCAGAGTTGCACTGATGTTTGCATATGCAGTACATCTTAGCCGGTGAAAACGTTGTAATTGGCATTTTTATCTCTATAATCATGATTGTTAAATGGGCTAGCAATCATTATCGCTTGGATGGACTAAAACAAGTTGCTAGTTGCTAAAAAAACTCTAGTTGATCCGACTAGTCCAACTTTTAGCTAGATTATAGCCTATTTTGAACTATAAAACCACCAAACTTATGATAAGCTATTCTCTTTGTTCTAAATTACAAGTCGTTTTAACTTTTTTTTTAAATAGCATTTACTATGTACTTATATTTAATGGATGTTTGGGTATGTAGTAAAAGTTACGTACTTACAAAACTAACAACTTACAATTTAGAATAGAGGGAGTATTAACTATCTTCTCTAGCTATTACAACTCATAAAAACTTTAGTTAGTTCAAATGGGTTCTTAGCCTTATGTTTTGAAAGATTGCCTTGGATCCTTGGCGGTGTTAAGGTGGAGTTTGATCGCTTTGGTGTGCTAGGTGAAGTAGCACCGTCTAGCACCTTGGCCCTTCGAGGTTCGATATATATACCTCTTCTAGGTTTGATATATATATATTTTTAAGATGGTGCGATAGGATGCACATAATCCACACACTCACACTACACGTGCACACACGTGTGTACTGTAGGTATGTAAGGAAAGAGATTGGAAGGCTCTAATCTCCGGTGTGTGTACCCTACTTTTTTTTTTGAAAATTCCCATCAGACCAAAGGCCCTTTCGCAGGCTATATTTTATAAAAGTGGAAATTTTTCCACTGGACCAGAGGCCCTTTTGCAGGTTTGGTATGTTTATGAAAGCGGGGTACACTATGAAATAAAAGATGAACTATAGCCATGAAATTTATAAACTACATGATAATGCCATTTTTTTATAATATGCTAAATCTCCTCAACAACCTTATAACATAGTTATTAGGATTAGATGGACATCAAACCGGTCTGAGGTTCTATTAATGGTTTGCTTACTCCAATTGAGTTGTCGGCTAAAGAGCGAGACAACAAAATCACAAATGCTCACACAATAGTGGTGGGAGCACTTCCTTTTGATCCTCAAGTCACACAATAGTGGTGGGCAGTGGCGGATCTAGAAAATACATTTAGGGGGGGGCTGGGAACTCATCTTCAACCTCCGTCGGGAGCACTCCAGCACGTGGGAGCACTTCCTTTTGATCCTCAAGTCTACTGTCTAGGGTTCGTTCAGTGGTGGGAGCCCTCAAGTATGGGGTTTGATTTGAATTCCCTTCTATCAATGCAATTTTTTCTCTATTTTCTCTACTCTCCCTTTTATGTGGCATGCACTACCCAAACTCACCAGCTTTCTAACGGTTTGAGTCCAATTTTATAGCGAACTAAACCAGTGCTCTTTCTCATTCTAGTCTGGTAACTAACTATGCTTATAATCGGCTTGGAACATCTAGTAGGTGCTGGGAGTTTAATTGCTTGCCTGAGCGTTTTTTTTCTTTTTATAAAACATTGTTCCAGCATGATACATGCTTCCGTAGTACTCCCTCCATCTCTATTTCTGTCGTCGTGGGGACCGTGTCAATCAAGTTTTTCAAATTTAATTAAGTTTATAAAAAAATTAGCAATATTTATATCTCTAAATAAATTTACTATATAGATTCACCAATCTATTTAATGATACTATTTAGGGAGAATTACGTTTTTGTTCTTGTCCAGTACTTCAATTGTGATTTTGCCCTCTTTTTTTTTAGTTTTGTGATTTTAGCCTCATTTTTTTCAAATGAAGCTCCCATCTACTCTGCTTTGTAACACCGTCTAAAATGCTTGATTAAATGATAAAAAAAAGAAAAAAAAAGACACCTATATGAAAAAGACAATGATGCGCCTCAGTCCCTTTCTCCTTCGTCACCCGTTCGTTCGACCCGTTCCGACGAGAAGTCGCGGCCCGCAGATGGTTTCGCGGCCTGGCAGAGGCGCAGCTCCTCCTCCCTCCTTCCCCCTCCCCCCGGCGTGGCTCATCATCCCTCCTTCCTGCTTCCCCCGGCGCGTCTCCTCCTCCCTCCGCCACACTCCGGCGCCCGCTCGTCCCGGCGTTGCCGGCTAGGGTTGCGCGAGCTTCCTCCGGCGAGCTCCCCTCCACGCGAGCGCGAGCTTCCTCCGGCGAGCTCCTCTCCAGGCGGCTTCCTCCGGCGAGCGCGAGGCGCTCTCCACCCCAGGCGCTGCCACCCTCCTCCAGGCGCGCCCTCCACCCCAGGCGCCGCCCCTGCTGCTTCCCTCGGCCTTATCCCCTTCTCAGTCCCTGCCGATGGACAGCAAAGCTTCGGCTCGGCGCATCGACAACCCCAAAGGGCGGCCGCCTCCGCATTGCTGCACGCGTCCGGGCCGGTGCCGTCGCGGCTGTGCTGCGCAGGCGCATGAGCGGCCAACGCGGCGGCCTCCTCCTCCTCGCGTTGCACGCGGCCGGGCCGCCGGCGTCCCAGCTGTGCGCCTCAGGCGCACGAGCGCCCACCGGCGGTGGCCGCCCCCTCTCCCACCGGCACGGCGACGTGCAGCCGAGCGTGCCGCAACCGCACCAAGGCCCGGCGGTGGCCGGCTCCCGGCACGCCGCGCTGCAGGCCAGCCCTGCCGGTGGCCGCGGACGCGATTGCCCCACCCCTGCCGAGGTCGCTCCGCCGCTGCTGCGCACGACGACGGTCGCCGTCCCGTTCTCTGTCTAGCGCCGACTCCGCCTCTCCCTCGCGTCACCCTCCGTCTCTTCGTCGGGCGTCCCCTCTACCTTCGCCTCTCCTTTCACGCTGCCTTCCAGGTCGGCATGAACGCCAGCCACCATGTGTTCGCTGAAATGCTCTTGAGGTAATATATGATGCAGTCCTGGTTTCTCCTCGATTATTGAGTGTGTTTGCCAAAGATTTGACTGCTGCCTTGCATTTCCTTTAGCAGTGGACATAGATCTTTGGTTATTAACCATCAGTGAATCATCTGCTGGAGCCAATCAGTCCTGCAGTGGCAGCGGCAGCGCCTAAGGCCCTCTCGCACGGCAAGTGGAGCACCAGCGTCCCCATCGAGCTTCTTCAGTATATGTGCATTTGTATTTATTTTTTGGTTACTCCTTTACTTTGTGTTAATTTTGGGTACTACCTAGATTATAAACTATGGTGGCTGCTCCTTGATTGGGTGACACTGCAAGGAAAAACACCTACAATGTCGTACTTTTCCATGCTGCAAATAGTTCATGTCTGTTTATCATACTACCTATGAATATGTGATTTCATTTCAGTCTATTGCCAATAAGAATACAAATTATTGTTTTCTGACAAAAGGAGAAAATGCATAATCTTCTATGCTCGTCGACTGCCCATTATTTATTTGGTACCCTTTTCCTGTCATTACTTAACAAACTAATTTTAGCTTTAGCATTAATGAGAAGTGCGTGGAGTTGAACTTAACATCCTGGATTTTTATTCGGTTGATTTAACTGTTTCAAAAATTTGGATGCAGGGATGGCCCTTTTACAGATGACCATTTTCCAAGGTTTAGCAGTGACCATTTTTAGCAGCTGATACAGTATATACATATCCAGGGATTCATCTTCGAGGCCATTCACCACTCAGCCTTTTCTGTTCATTCAAAGATTATCCTGTTGGCGTCACAAAAGGCCGTCATTGGTTTCGTAGACAGCATCAACTCTATGATGAATCTGAAAGAGGTGCCTCCTTATTATTAATTCCATTCCAGTTGCTGCCTATCACCACACACAGCCTGGACATGCCAAGATCTTTGGCTTCTTTGCAGCCCGGGATAAGATTGAACCTTTACGCAACTATGTCTACAGACGTGGGATTGACAATTATAAAGCAGTGTCTGTGAAGCGTAATTTGTTCTTACCTAAATGCTTATTTAACATTTCAAAATACCGTACAAAAGCTGTTTTTTGTTGGACATGTGCACATTCAATCGTTATTTGCAAGTTGTGATGTCTGATTCCATGTTACACAAAATTAAAACTGCGTTTAAGAAGCCTAAACCTGCAGGTCACATCGTCATTGTACAGGAAACACTTGATTGTAGCTTCACTCATTCTCAAAGTAAAGCTGACCTGATCAGCCTTTTGTGATCTCCCGCACTGGCACGCGGCTCGTTACATCTGTCGTTATTACAAACCTTTTGGTCCTAAAATTTTGAATATTTATCAATATTAAATTCGAGTTCAAATAATTACAAGTTGTGTCAATATGTTTGACTAAATTTAATCAATTGTCAGCATATAATAAAAAAGTCTAATTTCAAATCAGGGTAAAATCACAATTAGGCATAACAAACAGAGACAAAATTGTATGGATATTCATGTTTTTTTTTACAAAGTTTAACACCGTTAGAGGTGGATGACGGAGCAGGCGCAAACTGGTGCTTCGTGAACGGCACAGTAGGGGTAAATTCACAAAGTCAAAAAAAATAGTGGCAAAATCACAATTTCAATACAAAACAAGGATACAAACGTAAGAACCCTTACTATTTATGTACTATAAATATTAATATTTCATTTTATATATTTAGTCATTATTAAATATGTTTGAATTCTTAGTGAACGACGAATAAAAACGGACAGGGTGAGGAAGCATTCATGGACGAAGGACAACACTGGAGCCGCCCGGCCGTGACCAACTAGGGGGCTGTTTAGTTCCCTACTATTTATGTCAAATTTATAAATATTAATATTTCATTTTATATATTTAGTCATTATTAAATATGTTTGAATTCTTAGTGAACGACGAATAAAAACGGACAGGGTGAGGAAGCATTCATGGACGAAGGACAACACTGGAGCCGCCCGGCCGTGACCAACTAGTAGACAAGGCACGGAACAGAACAGAACAGAACAGAACAGAAGTAGGACAGTTGGAGAGTCGTCTTTGGGATTCGAGGAAGGACGTCCGGGCCTGCTCACCAGACACCAGTTGACCACTGTTCTACTCCGCCGCCTTCTCAGAGTCCGATGGCCCACCTTCCCGCCTCTCCGGCGGCCGCGGTATCCACCGGCCACCGCGTCTCGCCCTCGCCTCGCTCTTGCCCTTCCCTCCCGCAGCTGAAGACGACCGTACCGTCGTCGATAGGAGCCGCCGCGGGTCCCCCTTGGCGGTCATGGAGGGGAGTGGCAGCGGTGGCCACGGCCGCCACGGGCTCGGATAAGGCCGGTGAGTGTTTCCTGCGAATCGTCCTTCAACTGTGGCTCTAGGGCAGTGGAGGATACCGTTGTACCTCTGCATTTTGTTCTGCTGGGGGTGGGGGTTTATTTCAGCGTACTATACTAGTAGCATTTTACGTCTTGTTTAGTTCCACCTAATTTTCAAAAAGTTGCTACAGTACCTGTCATATCAAATGTTTGTGGTCCGTGTATGAGTATTAAATGTAGATGAAAAGAAAAACTAATTGTACAGTTTGGTGGGAAATTGCGAGACAAACATTTTGAAGCATAATTAGTCCATATTTGAACACTATTTGTCAAATAAAAATAAAGGTGCTACAGTAGCCCTAAAATCCAAATTTCGCGAACTAAACGAGGGCTTACATGAATTTCAAGTGCCACGGTGGTTCGATATTGCCTCGCGTAGATTTGCTATGCCCATGCGTGTTGCGTTTCATTTTGTTTCGAATCTGAGGTAAGTAGTAACTTCTGTTAATAAAGGCCTGCTGCACTCTTTCTGAAGTCGTAGGGCCATAGGGGAGACTTCCCTTCGACGAGTTTATGCAAATCCTCTGCGCACAATTATTTTCAAACTCGACTCATATATTTTCTGACGAGACATGTGTAGTGGTAACTCTTCCGGATCGAATTCGAGTATTTCGATGCACTCAGTAACTCAGAGTTATTTAGCTGTGTTCTTCAGGACTTCAGGTGGTGGGCAGGTACTTTCATGATGATATGGGATTTTGGCTGTTCGTATGTGGTTGTTGCCTTGCGGCCTTGTTGTTGGTGACTTGATTTGATGATGACCCTTTTGATGGCAATTTCAGGCCGGCTGCTTTTGTCAAGTGTGGGGATTCCTAGTTAGTAATAGGATTGCTTCCAAGTTGTGTCTTGACTCCCTCTCCTTCTCTTGTTGATTGGGATGGGCTGGAAATGGTTGGGTAATTTTGAAAAATTATTCTGAAGATTCTACCCGTGGTCCACCTTCGCATATCTTCTGCAAAAGGTTGCTTCTAAATTCAGATTCGTTTAGATAATTCTGGAATGATAACCACTTTAGCTCTTCCTTTTTTTTTATGAAAAAGGCTCTTTAGTGTTAACCTGAAGTCCTTTCCAGATTAGAAAAGAACAGAAAAACTCTGATAAAATTGGGTGCTCAACATTTTATTTATGTGGACTAGGTAGTTTCTTTTCTTTCACTATGATCGTTTTTTTTTCTGTATCTAAGGGTAAAAGGAAGGAGGGTACGAGCCTGCTAGGCAGGGGCATTAATTAGACAGAAATATGTTATGAAGTACAATGTGTTTCAATTACTAAGAACGCGGCACCGTCTTACGATTTAAACCTTATAACAATATTTTTCATGGAACTAAAGAGTATCTTTGCCATGCAGCAGCGACTGGAACAATTGCCAATGCAAACGAAGTTCCTGTATTGTCTTTGTCTGAGGTGGACTTTCTTGTCTTTTGTATCTCTGGTGGCACAAGTTTAATTTACATCATTGGTAACATTTATTAGACAGTGGTTGGATGCTCTTTCTCTTTCGAGAGATTATATTATTGGTCCTACATAGGCTCTCTTCTTGATTAATTCTTGAGAGATCAATACACAATTGTACATCATATATCCATTGTTGAAAAACCACGTTCGTTTCATGTGTAGTTTTTTAGAACTATTGTTATGAATAGTAATGGAAACATTAACTCTGCATGACTGCATCTAAAGTTCTGTATACACTGCAAATGTATGAATGAATTCCTTTGAAGCAACTCTTATCTGTTGCTGTACCTTCATCTCCATCCCCAACATTTATTTTTTATAAATCCATGAAAGTTGGCCATGGGTATTACCAGTAAGGGAAAATTGGTTCTATGATTGTTTACAAGGTCTTAGTTAGATGATTAATTTATGTAGTTTCTTGTCTTGATTGTGCTGTGAACTGATATACTTCGACTCTAATTCCATAATTATTCCCTCAAGGTTGCCGAAAGGCTCGATACATTCCATGCGTCTGGGGCTAGGAATCAAAATTACATGGCCATGTACTCTAGTATTTTTGGTGGAATTACAACAGACCCTTCTGCAATGGTGATACCAATTGATGATCATATGGTTCACAGAGGTCATGGGGTTTTTGATACTGTTGCTATTATGGATGGGTGAGCTCTTCTATAATATAAATGTGAACTACATATTCATTGCAAATAGAATAACAGTTATAAAACTCACCTATTTAAAATTTTCCTCATAATATTTTTCTTGTGTGAATGTGAACTACTGAACTTGGGAAGAAAATAAGAAAGCAACGTCCCTTTAGGCCTTTATATACATATTTCTTTGAATTTCTGACTGAGTGATGTTCCTATTATCTTATTTTCTACATTGACATATTACTGGCAGTCACCTCTATGAGTTAGAACAACACCTTGACCGCTTCCTGAGGTCTGCACTGATGGCCAAAATACCATTACCTTTCGATCGCTCAACAATTAGAAGCATACTTATTCAAACTGCGAGTGCATCAAATTGCACCCAAGGATCACTCAGATACTGGTTGTCTGTCGGACCTGGAGACTTCCAGTTATCTTCATCTGGCTGCGCAAACCCAGCCCTCTATGCTGTTGTTATTGAAAGTCCATCCTTACTAGTACCATCCTGCTGCAAAGTGGTGACATCATCTATACCGATAAAGTCTCCTCAATTTGCAGTCATGAAAAGTGTGAATTACTTGCCCAATGCACTCACCAAGGTGGAAGGCGAAGAGAATGGTGCATTTACTGGCATTTGGCTGGACGATGAGGGCTTTGTCGCAGAGGGTTCTAATATGAATGTTGGCTTTGTGACAGAGCAAGGAGCTTCTCATGCCGTGTTTTGACAAGATCCTGAGTGGGTGCACAGCAAGACGGGTTCTGACCCTCGCTGAGCATCTAGTAGCTCATGGAAAGCTCAGCGGGGTAATATCAAGGAATGTGAGTGTTCAGGAAGGGAAGATGGCTGATGAGATGATGCTCATCGGTAGTGGCATTCTTGTCAAACCTGTTGTTCAGTGGGATGATCAGATAATTGGTTCTGGTAAGAACAATTATGCATGCTTATTCCATATTGCATTTCAATAATAAATGTTGAATAGGAAGCCTGATAAAATGAAGTTCTGCTATATGTTGTATGAAGTTGATGTTAGAAAGATATGGAGTGTGACAATACCTTTAGCCACTTAGAGATTAGTCGATACTTGTGGTTAATCAGCCATTTTTAGCCTGTATTTGAGGTGCAGCTGCCTAGATGTAAGCCTAATCCTGAGGAAATTTGCAAATTAATAGGAGAAAAAGAAAAGCTTCTATTCCTGTGGGTCTGGGTTATAACGGTTTAGATCAAAAGATCTACTCACCAGTGATTTAGCTCCTACGTACCCATTTCAATGAATGTGTTGGGAGATCACATGGTTGATGATTTTGTTTTAATAGGAGCAAGCAACATTGGTAGTAGATTGAGCACAAGAATGGTTAATAGGCTTTTAACGTGTTGCTGGCTTACTGCGACTCCATATATAGAGCAAATACAAACTTTTTTTTTTGAGGGACTATATATCAAGTATTTAATGCTAATTGTTTTTCTCGTTTCTTCACAGGACAAGAAGGCCCGATAGCTCAAGCGCTTTATGACCTTATTCTTGAGGACATGAAATCTGGTCCGCCGTCTGTTCGTATCCCCGTCCCTTACTAAAACTGTTTGAAGTTTTGCATATGATTATAAGGGTGAACAATGATTTGTTGGTTATCAGAGTTGTAGGTTTAATTTGGTCATGTAAAATCTATGTATTAAAATATATGACATCTAGGAATGCTAATTATGCAAAAAAAAAGTTGGGTTTTACAGTTGAGTTTCCCCTGAGTTCATGGATTTTCGCTGGACACTGCTGGGCGTGTACCCTTTCTTCATTTTTACCTTTTTGGCTACCTGATGATACCTGCCCACTCGTTGGTCATAGCTGCAAGAAAATATCAATTTCGGGTGTGAAAGTAAATAATACCTCAATTTGTTTCCCTTCGCCTTTCATGATCTATACTAATGGTGGCGATATCTATATACAAGATATTTTCCTCCTGGGCTGTGCTAATTAAATCATTTTTTTATACATGAGTTGAAAAAATACTTGCTACCTCTCTACCTACAAGAAGCATAAAGCGAATTGGAATCTATCACATTTCAGTGACTATCAATAAATTAGATCGCCACTTATGCGCCTCCAAGAAATATCCTTAGTCATATGTGCGCAAGACACCACAACTAAGGCTATATTTGGATATAAGATTAATTGTTAGCTAGCTAAAACTTAGCCCTAGTGCATCTAAACATGAGGACTAATACGTTGATTAATTTTTGAGCCAAGTCTTTAACTAGTTGTTAGCTAACTAGCTAGCCAACCTCAGCTAATTTGTGCTAACCTTTAGCCTCAACTAGTAACTAGCCATGTATATCGAATGACCTAGGATATAGAAACGATCTAAATCAAAGTTGTAGTACTAAAAAATATCTAAAATTTTTAGTTCAAAGTTTTTTAATTACAATTTTTTTAGACTCTCAAATATGCATTACAATATTCATTAAAATGAATAAAAACAATGTAGCAACTACTTAGTCATAAGTGATTTTGAGGCACATGATTAAGGAAGGAATGTGCAAGGCATAATGTTCTCTGTCATGGGTTCCAACCCTTGTGGCCGGGGTAATAGTTTTGCTATCTATTTGTCTCTATTTACAAATTCTAAAAATCGATTTCTAGAGATAGCAAAATTGTTTTGCTATTTATTTGCTTGATTTCAAAGTTCTGAAAATCAATTTATAGAGGCAGCCGGAGATCGATCCCTTGAGATGGATTAGATTTGGTGATTGGAAAACGTCTGGATAGGGTTTGCGTCTTAATATAGTCCTTTTAGAGAAGCCTATGTCTCCCTCATAAATAGTGCACGGGGGCTTCTAGACTCTTCTTCTTAAATTATAAGATATTTTGACTTTTCTAGATGGTATCTTACTTAGTTCTCGGTTTAGTGCATGCATGTTTCTAAATGTATGTGGTGATTTAATTTTTAAGGCTTTGTTTAGTATAGTTTTGTTCAAAATTATTTCACCTAAGAAGCTAGAGAAATTGAGAAAACAGGTTTAAGTGGCTTCATCCTTTAATAATTTCTCCCTTCTACAAGTTCTTTCATGAATTAGTGTTCGACATAGTTCTTTTAAGAAATTAACCAAGAAAATCAAAGCTAAAGTCCCTCGAAAAGTCCTACCTAAGAGGACCTAGAGATGTTTATATATTTTCGTAAAACAAGTCTTTGAAAAATACTCACATATAGTATAGTTCACGCGTTTCCCACTTTAATTCGGAGAGAGGACCGAGGGCTTTTTTTTTTGAGCTGTAACTTTTGGACTTTTGACTAAAAAGTTGGTTTCTGTCTTTTGACTTCTGTTTGTTAGCTTTTGTAATATTTTTTTTAGGTTTTCAACTCGTCGAAAGCTAGAAAAGCTGCTCTTAGCACACTTTTCATCACTTTTAACTTATTTACTCAAAAGCAAGTTTTTCAGCTTTTTAAAAGCCAGCTCAGCAGCTAGGAGCTTTATGCTTCTGGTTAATGCAAGCCAGTAAAAAGCTAAACAAACAGGAGCTCCTCTGCACAAGCTGAAGCCGGAGCCGGAGCCATGCTAAACGGGTCCTGCGTGGCGGTGCAAACCGACGCTGGTGGATGTGTTTGTGACGAGTTAGACGGGTTGGGTGATAGATCCGCAGGACCGATGAGCTCCTCGGGTCGGGGTCTTAGGCCCTGTTTGGTTCCAAATAAGTCACCTACTTATAAGTTAAAAAGTAGAAAAAGTGACTTATTTTTGCCAAACACCACCAACTTATAAGTCACCCCTGCTTATAAGTTTTAAGTTGGTTCACCCCTACTTAAGGGCCTGTTTGTTCTAAATAAGTCACATACTTATAAGTTAAAAAGTGAAAAAATGACTTATTTTGCCAAACACCATCAACTTATAAGTCACCCATGCTTATAAGTTTTAAGTTGGTTCACCCCTGCTTAAAACTTATAAGTCACCCTTTTCGTGTGGGACCCACACTTTTAATGAGCTTATAAGTCATCTACAACCAAACATGTATAACTTATAAGTCACTGATTTTTAGTCATCTGACTTAATAAGTCACCTGACTTATGGAAACCAAACAGGGCCTAAAACTTATAAGTCACCCTTTTTCGCGTGTGGCCCACACCTTTAATGAGCTTATAAGTCATCTACAACCAAACAGACATAACTTATAAGTCACTGGTTTTCAGTCACCTGACTTAATAAGTCACCTGACTTATGGAAACCAAACAGTCCCTTATACAAGTTTGCTACCAGCAAGCAGTGTGTGATGCAATCAGCAGTCTGCATTATTAGACTCGCTCTCTCTTGCTCATGACGGCTTCAGTATGGTAGAGACAAAAGCTACAATCTAGTTCACGGACGTCAGTCTCGCGGGAGACGAGACGACTACAATCTGAGTTATCGTCTCTGCACATCCTCATCCTATAGTCACACATGGCAAGGCCGCACGTCGTGGTGGTGCCGTACCCGTGCGCCGGCAACGTGAACCCGGCGCTGCAGATCGCCAAGCTGCTACACCACCACGGCGTCTACGTCACCTTCGTCAACAGCGAGCACAACCACCGCCGCGTGCAGGCCACCGAGGGCCCAGGCGCCGTGCGCGGCCGGGATGGCTTCCGCTTCGAGGCCATCCCGGACGGCCTGTCCGATGCCGACCGCGGCAAGCAGGACTACGGCCGCGGCCTGGAGATGGCCGTCAGCACGAGCTGCGCTGCTCCGTTCAGGGACGTCATCACGCGGCTCAGCTGCACGCCGGGCGTGCCGCCCGTCACGTGCGTGCTCACCACGATGCTGATGAGCTTCGCGCTGGGCGTGGCCCGGGAGCTGAGGATCCCGACCATGGCGTTCTGGACAGGCAGCGCGGCCTCGCTGATGACGCACATGAGGCTCCGGGAGCTCTGGGAAAGAGGCTACGTGCCACTCAAAGGTAAGCCACGCACCGACGACGCAGCGCCGCCAAAAAGGAAATCTTTCGCCAGGATGAGCATACGCGTTTCATCGATCAATCATTTGCGGCATGGATGTGCACGCAGATGAGAGCTTGTTGACGAACGACTACCTCGAGCGCACCGTCATCGACTGGATCCCCGGCATGCCACCGATCCGCCTCGGCGACTTCTCCAGCTTCCTCCGCACCACCGACCCGGACGACTTCTGCCACCGCTTCAACGAGTCGGAGGCCAACAGCTGCACCAACGCCGGCGCCCTCATCCTCAACACCTTCGAAGGCCTGGAGGCCGACGTCCTCGCCGCTCTGCGTGCCGAGTATCCGTGCGTCTACACCGTCGGCCCCCTGGGCTCCCTCCTCAACGGCGCCGCCGCCGACTCGGCGCCCGGCGGCGGCCTGAGCCTGTGGAAGCAGGACGCCGAGTGCCTCGCGTGGCTGGACACGCAGGGACAGGGCTCCGTCGTGTAGGTCAACTTCGGCAGCCACACGGTGCTGACGCCGGAGCAGCTGGCCGAATTCGCGTGGGGCCTCGCGGCGAGCGGCCACCCGTTCCTCTGGGCTATCAGGGACAACCTCATCCGTGGCGGCGGTGGCGGTGGCCGCCTGGCACTTGAAGCGCTGCCCCCAGGCTTCACGGTTGAGACGGCAGGGCGGTGCCGCTTGACCCAGGAGCAGGTGCTGCGGCACGCGGCCGTGGGCTGCTTCCTCACGCACGGCGGGTGGAACTCGGCGTGCGAGAGCGTCGCCGCCGGCGTGCCGATGGTGTGCTGGCCAGGGTTCGCTGACCAGTTCACCAACTGTAAGTACGCCTGCGACGTCTGGGGTGTCGGCGTCCGGCTGGACGAGGAGGTGAGGAGGGAGCAGGTCGCCACGCACGTCGGCGAGGTGATGGGAAGCGAGGAGATGCGGAGGAGAGCGGCGAGGTGGAAAGAGGAGGCAGACTCCGCTGCCTGCCCCGGCGGCTCGTCGTGTGAGAACCTGCTGAGCATGGTGGGAGCGCTGATGAAAAGCACAGACTCACAAATAAGCCTGAAGTGCTGAAGGCTCAATTCAACAGTTATAGTTATACTTGGACTGAATAGTCTGAAACGCAATGCAAAAGGGTTGGTTCATGTCAATGAATAAAACTCTCGGAAGTTGCAATTTTAGTCGCATCAAAATTTGCATGTTTGTATTGGCACATTCTTGGACGTGCCGACGAAAATTAAATCCAGCCGCACACAACGCCTCAACAAGCCTACGGCGAGAGTGATCCATGATCTTCTGTCATCAACAAGCCTACAACTGGATTGATCCACAATCTTCTTCCATGGGAACGCCTGCAGCCGGTTACAGGTGCCGAAATGACGCACAATCTTCTGCTATCAACGTCTATGCATACAATTTTTTTAAATAGTTTATAGACTTTTGGCCATTGGTGTCTAAATGTGAAAGAAGATTAGTCACCATCTCCTCGTTCAGAAGCCAAGCTGGTCGTCTGGAAATAACCAATGCAGTTCTCAGTGCTCTTCCAACCTTTGCTATGTGCACCTTTCTTCTTCCCAAGACGGTTGTTAAGCAAATTGATAATTTCAGAAAACGCTGCCTCTTGAGAGGGTCTGGTGTTAATAACAAAAAGCCACACAGCTTGGAAAATGGTTTGTATCCCTAAGCAAGAAGGAGGCCTGGGTGATATAAACCTTAGAACTTAGGATGAAAGTCCTGAAGCACCTGTACAAATTCTTCAAGAGATCTAGCATCCCTTGGGTTCAACTAGTTTGGGACAAACCTAATCCGAGAGGATCCTTTTGGTGGAGAGACACCATCAAGCTCCTAGACTCTTTCAAAGGTCTAGCCACTACTACAATAATTTTAATGGTGGCGGACGATTTTGGTTTTCCGTGGCGGGCATCTCGTCTGCCTTGGTCCGAACGTCGCCATTAATAGTTTTTTCCCATGCGGTTGTCTGTGCCCGCCTGCGTAAATCATTTTAAAAATAAGGAAAAAGTCCGCAACCGGGCCTGGGCCTAGATCTGGGCTGCGCGTCGCCGTCGCCGCCGGCGCCGGGGGAGCTCCATCCGCCGCGTGAGCATCCATTATCACTGGATCCGGCTCCCCCGCGCCGCCACCGCTGGGAGAGGCATCCCCACGCGCTGTCGCGGTAGGAGGCCCCGTGCCCCACTACAAATCTGGATCGAGGTTGCCGCCTGATCTGCTCACGCCGAGCCTCCCTCCGGGCACGTCGTGGCTCCCGCCGCCTCCGTGGAATGAGTGGCCCGCCAGGGAAAGGGCCGGTGCCTGCGTCCCCTGCCATGAGAGGGAGAAGGGCCACCAGAGCCACACGCGTGCGCCGGACACCGCGTCCGCCCTAAGTGCGCCGACCGCCGCGTCCGCTCGGGTGCACTGGCCGCCACCTCCATGGATGCGGAGGAGAAGGAGCCAATTGCAGAGAGAGAGAGGAGGAGAGAGGAGCCACAGCCGAGAGGTGCGAGGGCCATGGATCCGCCTGATGCTGGGAAAGGGAGAGGGAGATGGAGATCCGCGCCGCCTCCATGGATGCAGAGAAGGAGCCGGCTGAGGGAGGGAGAGGGAGAGAAATGAGAGCTGAAACCCTAGGTTCGAGTATTTATATGAGAACACAACTATTGGGCCTTCTGGGCCTCAGCTTTTTCCCCAGGCGGGCTTGGTAAGAGGTCCGCCTCCGAAAAGGGGTTTACAGATGTGCGCGCTACTTTCTGACCGTCTCCGTAAATAAAACAACCGCCTCCGTAAATTGATTTTGCGATACCGTCGTTTCTTGGTGCCTCGGTAAATAAAACGACCACCTCGGTTAATCGCCAGGCATTTTACGAGGTGGATGGATTTTGTGACCGCCTCGATTAATAAAAGGGCACCGCCTCACAAAATCATTTGTGTAGTAGTAATCTCTAGTGTAGGGTCGAGATGATGGACTAGAGGGGGGGTGAATAGTCATTTCTAAAAATAATCGCACCGGCTAACTAAAACAAATACAAAATTAAAACTAACGGTCTAGCCAAGACTACACCCTTCTATCTAAGTTCACAAGCACCTTATAAAGATCCTAATTAGGCAACAAAGGTGCCGGACTAGCTAGAGCTCATCTAATCAATTCTAAAAGTAAGGTCACACAAACATATACCACTAGTACTTCAAGCACCGGGGGAGCTCCTACACATGCTAGTAAGAAAAAGCACAAAGTCACCTAAGCTCACTAGCAATGCTCAATAACAAGGCTACACAAGCCAAATTATAGAGCGTAAAATACTTAGCTACACAAACTAAGCAATATGACTAATAAGGTTACTTAAACCGAATTAGTCATGCAAGGAAGCTACTTATATGCTACACAAACAAGAAGGTAACTAGCAAGGTACACAAGCTAACTAATTATAAGAGCAACTGCATAAGCACAATGCATATGAATGTAAATACAAGCTTGTGTAAAGGGATGCAAACCAATGGGAAGAAAAGGATGATAAGATGATTTTTATTCTGAGGTTCACGTACTTGCCAACACGCTAGTCCCCGTTGTGTCGACCGTTCACTTGGTGGTTCGGCGGCTAATTAGCACCACACCAAGCCCACACATTGGGCACCGCAAGAGCCCCATGAACCAAGTGAGGGTAGGTCAATGACATGCTCTACTAGAGTTGCTCTTCGCGGCTCCCTCAGGGTGAGCACAATCCCCTCACAATCACTTCTCCGGAGCACCGCACAATCTTCTTTGCATGTTTCAACGGAGACCACCACCAAGCCATCTAGGAGGTGGCAACCTCTAAGAGTAACAAGCACCACTGGCTTGCAACTCAATCACCTAGTGTCACTCGATGCAACCTCACAATGCAATCGCACTAGAATCGCACTCACACTCAATCGGATGATCACTATCAAGCGTATATGAGTTAGAGGGCTGCCAAGCACACTTACACAAGCCACCAAGGCTTAAGGGTGCTCAGCAACTAGCCCAAGACCGGCTAGTGCTTGGTTTTATATCCCCCAAGCAAATAGAGCCGTTGCTCCAAAGATCCCTTTTATGCGAAGGCACTGGACACAATGGTGCCCCTCCCAACGGTCAAATTCCAACGGCTAGAAATTAGCCCTAGGGGTGGTGGTGACCACCTAGGCCAACCCCGCGAAGTCCTAACTCTCTGGAAAAAGTGGTGGTGCACCACCCTCCCTATGACAGTGACTAGGGCGGTGGCCAACCCTGACTTCCTCGTTCTCGGGCGAAAAACAGCGGTGCACCGGACAACCCCTGGCGGTGCCACCACCCTCCCAATGGTAGTACACATCGGACATGGTAGTGACACCTCCACTGCTGCTGCTCTGAACCGGGTCAAGTAGGCACCACCCTAGGGGTGGTGGTGCCACCGGATAGGGGGTGGTGGTGCCACCCAGGCAACACCCCGAGCCCGATTTTGCCTCCTTTTCTTCGCCTTTTCCAACATCTTTACAAATGTGCTTTCACCACCAAGTGTTCACCACCTTGTGCACGTGTGTTAGCTTTTCACAAACATGTCCCAAAGGATTTGTCACTTCTTTCATCATGCCACTCGATCCTAACATGTATGCAAAGTTAGATCGCTCAAGTGGCACTAGATGACCTATATGCAAATAAGTTTTCCCCTCTTGATAGTACGACCATCTATTCTAAACTTGATCATAAACTTCTCTACACACCTATGACTAGTGAAATGAAATGCCCTATAGGTTATACATTTACCTTGCGCATTCCATTCCATCCCCTCCAATGTTGATGCAACACATGCACCAACCATATCACAAATGATATGATCCACTTCATATCATCATGTGACCTTGTTGGTTCATCGATCTTGACCTCACTTGCTTTTCACCGTTGCCTTCGTCCATCGGTGCCAAGTCTTGCTCAAGTTTCACTGCCACACGGTCCATCGCTCCAAAGCCTTCAACTGGTCCATCAAGCCAAGTCTTGTCTTGATCTTGTCCACCTTAGTCACATGACTCAATGTCATGTCTCATATGCAATGAGTTCCTTCATCACATGTGTGAGTCTTGCAACATATGCAAGCTATTTCACCTCCATGGCATAGGTTGCTCACACATGATGTACTTTTGGACTAATTACTTGTGTATCTCACTCAAACACATATTAGTCCACCTAAGGTTGTCACTCAATTACTAAAACCAAACAAGGACCTTTCAATCTCCCCTTTTTGGTAATTGATGATAACTCTACAAAGATATGGAAATTAAGCTCTTTTCAAGCTAGCACTTCACACAAGTGTAAATGCTAACTTGATTTGGATTTTATGCTACTTATCCAACATTAAAGCTCTATGTCAAGGTTTGGATAAGCACCATAAAACCTGACTTGGTATTGATAACTCCCCCTACATGTGTGCTTAAATGGTTTGGTTTCAAGTTTGCACACATGCATAAATATGAAATTTGTGGGAGTATTACCACTACCAAGTGATGCTAAGGTGTATAGAATAACCTTTGAAGCGTGATGCCAATCTGAATTGCACTTTTAACACCATCCTTAGCATCATGAGTAGCTAGACAACAAAAACACTAGAAACCCTGTGAGATCAATATTATGAGCAAGGTTCTAGTTTTTGCTTAAAAAACACAAGTCTAGCTACCATCCTATGCATGCTAGTTATCATATCATCATTCAAGTTCTATAACTAGCATACAACACATAAGCATGCATATCAAATTTAAAAACTTATGCAATGCAAGCAAGCACATGAATATGCACATATCAAATGCAACAAATCAAAGTTCATGAGCTTGCTCCCCCTACTTGTGTGCTTCTCTTGTCCAAGAATTTTGATCCTTCTCCATTCTTCAATGTTGCTCCCTCTTAGTCCATGTCCAACTACTACTTCTCTCCATGATGCATTTACATATCTTTGTTCCAACTTCTCCCCCTTTGTCATCAAATTGCATAAAAGGTGTGCTTCTTATTGATACAAAGGATTGCATTGGGGTAGATGGTTGACATTTGAATCTTGCATTTTTTATGGACATCACCACAAATGTTGGAATGACAC